ATTGTAAAGAAACTAAAAAAAATAAAGGAAAAACCTAGTTGCTGGTTATACGAAAGAAAAGAAATACAAAGAAGAGGCAAACAATCAGGAACAAAGAAAAAGAGGAAAAGAAAAAGACCTGAGGCCAACTCGGAATGGGCCGGTTGATGAAACTCTCGCACGACACATCCATGAACTTATACAGCCATTAATTGGCTGTTCTTAACAAGAACAACCAACTAATGATCGTCTGGGTTCATCAATTCCATGCACGGACCGGAAGGAAATAGGGTTTTTCTTCAAAATCTTAGATTCTGTTGGGGGAATTGAGGCTGATTCGAAGAGGATAAACAGTGGTTTAGGGTTAGGGGGGTGCAAGGGTTATAGGGTGTGAGTTTGGAGTGATTTGAAACAATTAGGGTTTTGGCCGGATTTTTCGATTTGAAATTCGAGGAGTTTGGCAGTGATTCGAAGGAAAATAGTTGGAGATATGGACTGAGGAGGTGAAGGGGGGTTCAGGGTGTTATTTTGGGAAAGATTGGAATGACAGCGCCGACGTGGGCGATTTCCGGTGGACGGTCTGCGGTGGAGCCGGTGAAGGGTAAAGGGGCGGCTAGGGTTTGGTTCTGGGAGAGAATAGAGATGGAATGAGAGGGATTCAATTGGGAGGGGGGGTCCAAGGTTTGGACAGTTTTATATTAAATGAACTATTAGTTCCGAGCCGTTGGATGATCAAAATCCAACGGCTGTGATTAGATTAACACAAAACGGGGTCGTTTGGCTTGAGGGTGAGTTGGACCGGGTAGGCTAGATTTTTGGGCTTGGGTTATGGGCAATTTGGATGGGTTTGGGGCAAATTTGGGCTGATTTGGTTATTAGCCCAATTCCGAGAAATCTATTCTTTTGAAATACCCTCTTTTATTCCTTTTCATTTCTTTTTCTTTCTTTTTCTTCTTTTTTTTTTAAATTAAAAATCCTAATAATTAAAAATCCTAAATTATCTAAAAATGTGAACTTAAACTAATTAACTAATTATAAAATTATAAACATCACTTAATTCTAAATTAAAAGAGAAAAAATCAATAAACTAAAAATTAAAAGACAAAATGTAAAAATGAGCTATTTTTGTGATTTTTAAATTTCTATAAAACAAATAATCATTGATTAATTCTAAAAATGTAAAAATAAATCCTAAATGCAATGCATGATATTTTTGGTATTTTTTCATGATTTAAATAAAAATTCAATATGCATAGAAATGCAAATAATTAGGAAAATTCTACAAAAATTCCTAAAATGGCAAATAATTAACAGAAAACCTATTTTCTTGGGATTTATAGGAGCATTTCGTATAGGGCAAAAATCATATGCTCACAATTGCAACGGTTTATATTATCTAATGGAACATCATTTGTGTCCTATTGCAACGGTTCTGGTAGGCTATGTAACAGTTCAGTTAAAATAAAAATATAGCCCCTGTTATAAATAAATATTTATATATATAATAAATTATAATAACACTAAAATTTAAATAAATCATAAAATAAAACTATTAATAATATAAATTATCCACTAAGCAAATAATATCCTTGGGGGAAATGAAGACTTCCGCTGCCTTGACTGTTGTAAGAGGAAGGATTTTGGAAGTTTAGAGTGAAAGAGAGAAGATGATTTTGTGAGACAAGAGGATTTTGTGAAAGGATAGGTTTTGATTTTGGATATATGATGCTTTGGATGCATCGGCGAGTTAGTGCGGCAAGGGCAAAATAAAAGCTTTAGCCTAATATTAATATTATTAAAATTAGATAGTCAAAATTAAAAAAAAAAAAAAAAGGAGGTTATTTGGCGGGTTAGCGAAATTAGGGGGGGGGGGAATAAATAACTGTTCCAATAGATTTTTTTCCAATAAAACGCTGCCATAAATAGTTCTATTGGAACGGTTTATAATATTGTTGCGATAAAAAAAATTATGGCAACGATTCTGTTACAATTGCAACAGTTTTATAGTTGTAGTGTGTCGATATCACCTAAATTCTATTTTAACGGTTGCAACTGATACGATATGTGGTCTACGGCAACGGTTTGAGAACTGTTGCAAAAATAACTGTTGCCATAGGCCCATTTTCTGGTAGTGAGTGATCATATTCAAAAAGTTATAGATAATATGGATATCTATATTATCCGCCAATTAATCCGTTTTTTATCCATATTAAATATGGGTCGGGTCAGGTCGGATAATTTATCTATTTTTTTATTACTTGTTTTCGATCCGACCTGCCCGTTTGCCACCCCTATAAACTACCACCATCCACCACCAGCTTCCTCAATCACACTACAACTACCACCATCATCCACTATTATTAACTATCACCACTCACCACTATCATCCTCAACCATAATCGTTATCGCTACCAATCACCACTAGCTACTACCTAGAACCACCACCATCAACCAAAATCACCACCAACCACCACATATAGTCGGCACTCACAAGCATATATATATATATATATATATATATTGATAGGATATTAGATTAATTAGTATTTTAGTTGAATTTATGTTTATTAATTTTTAAATAAAGATAAATTCTATAAATTCAGATGTTTAAAAAAAAAAAATCTAGTTTAGTATTCAGATCTTAAAACACATCTTAATATTCAGATGTCTTAATCTTAATACACATCTTGATATTCAGATATGTATTCAGATTCAGACGTTTTAATCTTTAAAGAAAATGATGTCTTAGTCTCCTTGGTTATAGAGTTGTAACCTAAAAGTACTGTTCATTAAAATTAGTTAAATTTCACAATTTACTTTCTGTTTGTGTCAGGATAGTCAGTTCAAAAAATCAGATTCTTCGAAATCGTAAAAATCGGATGAGACGCAAATCAACCCCTTCTCGTATTTGAGTGAACTCCAAATTAACAGGAGCATACAAAGCAAGGTCCTCAGCTATCTTCATTGAGGTTGACACATTACCTGGAAAGGCAAAAGACGCCTTGAAGAATGACATGAATCAACTGATTTTGTTTAGGATCAAAACTGAAAAGAACCTTTTTAATGTATAACTTTTTTGGTAAATGGTTCACTCAATGGTATGTACCCCCAAACATATATTATAAGCTAACTCGCCCGCCCCCAATGTAATATTTCCCTTAGATGCCATATCTTCGGTATATCAGGAACTGGACAGAATTATTGTCCCTTTCCTATATTTGCCCGGTGATTATTAGCTCCCGTTTGATCATAAATTTTTAGTTTCATTTTTTCAAAAACAAATTTGAAAACATTATTTGTTTATGAAATAATAACATATTTTTATTGGAGGGGGGGGGGGGGGGAGATTAAAAAAATTTCAAGTTACCAAAAATTGGTTTACGGCAGTGTTTGGGTGTTTCTTCTCCTTCTTGGAATTTTTATCTCCTATAGCAAAGGTTAACACCTTATTTATTTTAAATAAATACCTTTTAAAAAAATTATATTCTATAGATACCTTTTAAGGTTTATAGCAAAATATTTAATTTTGGTTACCTCCTAACCCTAAGCCTAAATACGTTATTCAGTTACACTATTTTATTTCTCTCTCTACTTTGATACATCCAATTCTCTTCCCCCATTCCCTGAAAATACCATGCTCAATCTCAAAATTCCTCTCACCCACACTATTTTCTTTTCATTCCGATCAATTCTTGCACCGAATATTGAATTGCGATTTAAAAGCAAATCAAATCCCTAACCAAAACTAACTGATTTGGGAAAGGGGGTTAACCAACGTTTGAACTTTGACAGATTTCACCTTAGCGGTAATGAAAGCAAATCAAATCCCTAACCAAAACTAACTGATTTGGGAAAGGGAGTTAACTGATTTGGGAAAGGGACTGTAAAGATTGAATCTTTTGGGTAGCAGGTAATGAAAAAAGGTGTCGCGTGTTGTACCTTCAAATCTCAAAGGTGTCGCGTGTTGTACCTTCAAACATTGCTAGGGCGGATTCGCCGAAAATTAGGGTTTGTTCTTGAACAAAGACGACGGAGTTTGGGGCTGAGCAACTTGATTTTCTGTTAATATATTTTCAATGTATTTCATTGTATTCATTGTCTTTTTTTTCATTGTAATTCAATGTATCTCGTTCTATTCCATGTATTTCATTGTATTCACTGTCTTTTTTTCATTGTATTTCAATGTATCCCGCTGTATTCTATGTATTTCATTGTATTCACTGTCTCGCTATATGCCATGAATGTATTCATTTGTTTTTTTTTTAATTAATATAATTTATGTATTCAGATGTATTATATAATTTCTCTGAAGATTGCTACGTTTTTGGGGTATTTTTCGGTTGAGAATCTTTTTTATAACTGAAAATACAAATTTTGTGTGTTATATTTGAGTTTGTTGAGTTATATTAGGAGTCTATTATGTTAATTGATTCACTTTCCGTTTTAAAAACTGTGTAATCCTCTATTTCACGCGTTGAATAGGGTCGAATACAATAATCTGTCCAGTTGTAATCCCATGTTTCACTCCAAGAATACAGTCGAATACACTCGAATACAACAACTGATTAGCTGGAATTCCCTGATTCACGCCTATTTTTGCTACTGTATTCATGAATACAATAGCTTAAATACATCAAATACATCTTATAACCACAGAAAAGATATCTATAATCCGTAATATAGCAAATGGTATCTATAGATGGCTAATTACTACTAAAAGATGGTGTTTTATGAAAATTTCTCTTTTTTCTTCCACTCACAAAACTTCAAACTCTTCTTCAAATAAAATGCATGTCCAAACACAACTTCAACTTTCAAAAATTATTTTTCAAGTTTCAATCAAACCTATATTCAAACGCTAGCTTAATATACAGGTTGAGTTCTATGTCTAACCTCTCACCATAATGATGACAATATTTTTTTTTTTAAATGTATAAGAGGGTCTCGTCATGTACAACATGCCATAGTGTGTGGCATCAGCTTAGAAATGAGCGTGCTACAGGGTCCCAGCCGTAACCAGGTCTATCAACAGTCTTTGTTTCCATCCTTTGTATGCCAAAAATACAAAGTAGGTTGCTCTTACGAATATAGCAGGATTTAGAACACAACTAAATTAGCTATCATTAGTTTCTCAGCGCGGTGAAGATACATTAACACAGGACACTGAAGTGTTGTTCCATATCCTTTCAACAAACCTATGTAGCGATCTGCGGATCAATGTTAAAATCTAAACAATATCTATAACTACCATGGGATTTTGGCTGAACTAAGACTAGGAATTAGTTTCATTGTATCATCTAAAACTTAACATGATTTCTCTTTCAAATGCTGGTATTCCTTCAATGGGCATTGACTGTATCATCGAGCAATCTTCTCTTCTCTAGCCTCGAGGGCATCCACCTCCTCATTTGAAAGGAGATCAACAATTGGTTCATATACATCCCAGTCCTTCCTTTTTCTGAAATAGTCACATTTGAAATGAATGAATTCAAAACCTGGACCAAATAGAGTCTCTGACTAACTGATATCGAGTATGTGCTAATGAGATACCATTGCATTGAAATACAGATAAAACATCCTCGTTCCAGAACATCCAATTTCCTTTTCTCTTTCATATTTTATTGAGTGGAAATGTATGAAGAAAAGAAAGAGTCGTACCGAACAACACTTGATCTAATGCCAAATAACTTCACCAGGTCCAATGCAGGTACACCTGTCTTACTGTCAAAAAGATAATTATTAGGAAAGAGAAGTTCTAAGGATAGTGTAAGGGCATATGACTAGATTAAACAAAGATGGGCATAAACAGCAAAAGCCAGAGATCAATGACAATAACCTGGCTGAGATATGTTCCGTTACTCTACGTTTCTTATTTGCCCTACTTTCTCTAGCGGATGCAACACTTTGCATCGCAATCTGAAAACATTAAATGGCAAAAATGGTCTGAAGTAGCTGGCTTTCAACTATGAACTGGTTGAAAGACAGGTAGAAACAATTAGGTCACATACACCAAAAGAAGAATGATATATCCTCACCTCATAAAGTTGTTCTCGAATTGATATGGCAATTGCAGGCTGCAAAGAAAGAAGTCAACTATCAAGAAGAAAGCACCGACGGTTTTTCAAATAAAAAGGATATTGCAAATGACAGTCTCACGTAGTTGAAAAGATTTTAGGGAGGAAAGTAAAAAACTGTTTTTGCAAAGGAAATATCATCCAGTGATTAGTTTCTATAAGTAAAAAGTGATAAAGACAAACTACTAACACAACTAGAATTTAATACTTTCAGAGAAGAAACAACTACAGATAAAATACTCTCTCAATTGGATGAAGTTGGGACCAAATCTCATCTAAAAACTGAGCTACATAAGGAAAGTTTACTTATACATGAACATAGATTTAATGCAAAGGCCTACAATGCCTAGAGGTTTAACATCACTGTTGAATGATTACTATTTAAATAGAAATTACAATCTTTCTGTTTAATTTTAACAAAAGCTCTTTATTGTAGTCTTGTTCCTCCAATTCCAATTACGGATTGGATCTTAACTCTCTGACAAAATGTAAAAGCAAGTTCAAGACAAATCGCTCTAGCTGGGATTCACACAGCTGAATCAAAATAAGCAATCTTTTCTTATAACCAGTATAACAAAAGAGTGACTGGGAAAAAGAAGGATGTAATATGGCAATACCAAGACAATTACCTTATAAATTACTTGTTTCTTGTGTGCAACACAATCTCTAGACTATTCTTTTGAGCACAGCCCAATATTTTTGTCCATATTTTTAAGTTAAAGACCTCTTTTTCTACATTATTCATTACCTTCCAATATTCTACTTGAAAGAAAACAGAAAAAATATATTTATTAGTCTCACTTCTTGCTTATGGTGAAAACACGAAAACAAAGAGTTGATATTTTATTATACTTCCAGCAAACATAACTGTTTCCTTTCGTTAAAAACAATTAACCAAAATCCATATCCTCATAACTCTATCAGTGGTTAAAGAGAGTTGGAATTCTATGATGGCATATTTATGCCAGATACATCCAACATCAAAGACAACTAGGCCAAATTCTTGATAAAGGAACTGAGCATTTTGCTAAAATTTCCCTCACAAGATTTTCAAGAAATAAGACCTAATAGCATTTTGACTTTACTATTCCCCTTCACAACTTTTTCCATTTACAAATTACAGAAGATCATTCTAATTGTAGCAAAATAGGAGGGAGGTTAGTTTTATCTGCATAAGTTTAAAAGCTGCAAACACTGAACCAAAAATATTCAATATCACGCATCAGAGATGTGGAAGTACCATGGAATTTGAACGTAGAATCTTAAGGGCACAGGGCTAAGTCGTCTCCAGCTGATATACACTCCAGTTAACTCCAAAAAATAAACAAACAAAAATGGGAAGAAAAAGGAGCAAAAGGAACCCTCCCCCCCCCCCCCCCCCCTTAAACTTCATCAACCCCATCACACAAAACTATATCACATGATGATGACCATCAAATTTACAAGAATATGCAATGAAAAAAGGGGGGGGGGGGGATTATTTTACCACAACCAAAGGAAAGACAAAAAAAAAAAAAAAGAGCTTACTCCAACTTCTGGGTCTTCAATTTCCATATCTTTACAAAAAGTCCGTGCAAATTCTTCAGGATCACTCTCGAAATTGTTCAAGTCCTGAAATTATTTTGATGTCTCTTTGTATTAGTAACATATGAAGCAGAGTAATTGCAAGTTTGATCACAGTTCTTATACATATATCAAGATATTTCAAGAATGAGACATAACCTTTTAGTCAAACTTACCCAGAAAAAATGGTCCTTGATAACTGTATGATTTACTCGGAGATCAAGCTGAATGAGCCCGGAAAAGAGAAGGAAAGAGAAAAATACAAGTACCTCATTAATGATTCCACAACAGTTGTGACCATCAAAGTCAGAAAGATAGGTATCTTTCATTTCTTTTGGAATAAATATCTTTCATCATAATGTTATTAATATCGACATAAACAATTGTGCTAAACCTTGATAGGAACAACTCTCTCGCCAGTGTACATATCTTGTCCTTCATATGACCGAAATTCTGTTAATTGTGACTGCAAAATTGGAAGTAGCATGAGAAGCCAATAAGAAATAATTTGCCAGAAACAAGAGAAAAAGAAGTATGTACACTAAGCAGCCATTTCGCAACAAAGGTCCTCAGTCACTAGAGAACTAACAAGTTTTTGTTCAGGAAAAGGACTAACAGACATAAAGGTTTTTTTTTTTTGGATAAGTACATAAAGGAATATATTGTTGAATGCCTTATAGAAAAGAAGGAATATATTGTTGAATAATATTTATAGCCAAAGGACCTACATGCTAAAACATAGGCTGGTTTAGATAAAAGTTCCTACATCAACGGAAGATATCTGGATGAGGTTTATCCAAATTATACTGTTTTGTGATACTTTAACGACTAATTTTAACTTCTTATGAACAGCCTAGTGTCCTTTACTACAAAGATCAGTTGTTAGTTAGTCAACCAATTAGCTATACATTTTTCATCAGAATTAGCTCGAATGCCTTAGCAAAGTCACGCATTGCATGGGCAATACTAAAACAAGAGACCAAAACTTTTAATGATTTAGTATTTTTTTTCTTTTGGGGTAAATTTCTCAAATTAATCAAACTTGTACCACCCGACAATGATCAGCACAGCATCAATAAAGTACGCTGACAAAGTGAAGAATGGATTGTATGATTATGGTTCAAGAATTGAAACTTGTAACCTTTCCTTCAATATACACAACATTGACCCAAAAGAAATAGGGAGAGAGCCTACATTCTCTCACGAAGTACTTCGATATTGTTTGTCCAAGCCCAGAAAAACAAAACAAACCACCGCCAAACAAAATACTACATAATGAAGCCTAATATGACGTCTAACAATATTTGACAATAGCTACAACAGTGGCCACTCCCCTTTTTTTGGGTAATCTCATCAAAAAAATTGTCAGAATTTTGACTTTTAATTCTCCAACGAATCTCCGTCGATTATTAGGAGATCTTGTCTGAGCTGGTTTAGGCATATTCTGCATAGATCTCAATTGTACTAGTACATAGGTGCAATAATACGATGATTAAAAGGGTTGATGACGAACACAATGTGAATTGTAAAATTATCTCAGTAATCAATGTGGACTTAGCTAAGGACTGAACACAATGGTATGAACGATACCAACAAGGCGGAATTAAGAATTTCTTGTTGCTCTACACTTATATAAGCTTCAGCGTCTATCAAAACTTGCAGCGTTCCAGCAAATAAGCAGAAAAATAGAAGTTCATTCCCCTCCTTTCTTTTCCTACAAAAACTTGAACGGGATACGTGTGAGATTTCAAGAAGTTCCATTTTTAGAGAACCTCTGGTGTGCGTAGAAGACCTATCATTCAGTTTTGGAAACCTGAAGATAACAGATATGATACAAAAAATCATATATCCAACCCAACTAATTTGGGAATTACGGCATAGTTCATAGTTCGATATATAGTTAACAGATATGTAAAAGCTCAGGGGAAGAAGTTGATCATCTTTTGTTGCATTGCCCTGTGTCCTCGGCTTTGTGGAGGGCGATCCTGAACCTTTTTGGTGTTCAATGAGTGATGTCAAGCACTGTAAAGGAAATGCTATACGGCTGAGCCGGTTTCTGTAGAAGAAGAAAGCAAAAAGCGTGGAAGTTCGCCCTGTTAGCTCTCATGTGGATAGTTTGGAGGGAGAGAAATAGGAGGGCTTTTGAGAGGATTGATTCTCCTTTTTCAAATCTTAAGAATAGTCTTTTATCTTTGATCGCTTTTTGGTGCACTCATATAGCCCCTATTTGTATAGAAGATTGGGTGTCTTTTGTAGAGAATCATGTTCTGATGTAAATTCTCTACTTTTTGGTATACTTCTTGTATACGGGAGTTCTCTCCCTTTTGATTAATACAAACCTTATCAAAAAAAATAGTTAACTTCTATTTCATATTACTTCATCCTATAGCTAGTACATCAACAACATACCCACTATTATCCCACATCGTGGATTCTGGGGAGGATAGTGTTAAGATAATAATAAAGTAGATAAAAGTGTGCTCTTTCTAACGGTTTAAGTTTTAAATGAGTTGGTCACACACAATCAATATGGCTTCAGAGCATGTAGAGGTCCTGAGCTGAGTCTCTCCGCCACCCATTATCAAAAGAATTTTCACGCGCTTGACTCATTAAAAAAAAATCAAGCCCACACGTGCGGGGGGGAGGGGGGGGGTAAGATAATAATTAAGTAAATAAGGTGTGCTCTTTCCAACAACTTAAGCCTTTAGAAGAGATAGTCAGAGACATGTTTAAAATTAAACCCCAATCTCCCACCATGAATCCTATGTAAACTAAACCCAAGTATGCAAGCAGCAATTAGATCCATACATCCTGTTCTTTCGAGCAATACACCATGAATACTATTTATACCACTAAGCATGAAGAAAGATGATGAAATGGTGCATACAACATGTACTGGTTTATGACTTATAAATTACTTGAATGGATTGAGCAATCTGAGTGATAAACCCAGGAGGAAGCTTCAAATCCTTCACAGTTCTTTTCGCGAAAACCACCACTTCTGAGTCAGGATCTGCAGTTAATAAGTTCAGAGAGGGACAATAACTAGGTCAGTCCAATGATATTAGGAAAACTCAACTATAAATTTTCTTTCTTTAAAGGTGATCAGCAGAACCGTTCACTGGAGACAATACAAATGGCTTTGTATATGAAGCATCACATAGGAAAAAGCAAATAAGTACCAGAACTATCAAAAATCAGTGTGTGCAGTCGTTTTCAAGCTATCTTTTGCCAGGACATAAGCTCTATAATGTTATACTCTGCTTTTCATAGTAGTAGTCCGCAAAGTTCATTTACTTCATAAAGCCATGTTGAAGTATCAGACAACCTAATAAGATCCAATCTTTATCGCAACAGAGAATCCCTTATAAGGATCTTCATGTGCTAAAAAGATCTTCAGAGCACTATAAAGTCAACCCCACAAAATTAAGGAAATGGTTTGGAACGTCTAAACTAAAATAAAAAAGTCATGTACCGAAATTCCATTGTTTGCCAGCTATTTTCCAGAGAATGCCTTCATAAAAACTTATGTTTAGCAGTCTAGATGCACATTCAATGTTGTAACGCCTCCCAGATACAAAAACAAATGAAAATTTAGTTAATTATGTATCCCTTACCTGGAATGGGCATGTCCACTCAACTTTTTCACAAATTTGCTCACTAATGATTCTTGATCATTGTAGTGAGAAACTAAAATTTTCATTTTTACGGTACAGATGAGCTGTGGTAGCATTCAACATTAGAACAAAAGATTTCAACATATATTCGCAGCAACTACTAAGTAAAAACATCAACTATGCATACAAGAACACAGCCAGTTGCAACCTACAGTCCAAGGAAGAAGCATTAGATTGAGTGCATATTGTTATATCAATGTTTATATGGTGGTGAAGTCTAAAAAATAATAATAAAAGCGTACCATTTGGATTCCAACTAAAAGCATCTCTAAATCTTTGACCATCAATTTCAATGTCCAGACGAATAGGAACAAGATTCTCCGCGGTTGGACTGTGAATATGCATATACTTTTTGTTAAACACTAGGAATTATTCATGTCTTATACCATCACATATTTGTATAATAAGGAATAAGGAGTGTTACATTTTGAATTTCACCGGGTTCTTTAGTGAGCCCCATGCCGACTGCGGCTTCATCAATGCTTCTTTTATCGAAGCCAAATAACCTGGAATATTAAGGAAACTAGCTAATCTTTTGTCTACACAACAAATACAAGATATCTAATGCAGGTAGACAGACATAGATTGAAAATAAATTAAGATAATGCAAATTGCAACATGGACATTGAGGATTCATGAAGCGCTAACTTGCTTGAGATTGAGTCATAGTTGTTGCTGTTGTATAGCAAATAGTAATGCATATTTAAAAAAAAAATCTTCTTTATGCAGGGGAAGCAAACACAAAATACTGTTAACTCATTCAATATTAGTAGTTTGCTGGAATTAGGGTTTTTAAATTTTTTTGCTTGTACTGAGTATATGAAGTCTAGAGAGGAAGGAAGAAAGATATACTATAGAAGGTAACCTACAACTAACAACTCGATGTCGCCGGAAGGAAGTTGCCGGAGAAAAAAGAAGAAAGAACCTGGCGTAGGAATTTGGGTTTTCCGTTAATGGACCTTATTCTTCCGTTTGCACATAAATTTGATTGCTTTTAAAACATAATTTTTGGACATTTAAATTTTAAGTTGTGTTTGTATACATATATTATTTTAAAAAATTAAAATTTAAAAAAAAAATTAAAAAAATTCACCCAAAACTATCCTTAAACAATTTTTGAAAATTTAATTTTTTTAAAAAGTAATAATATTTCATAAATAAACAATAATTTTAATTTCTTTTGAAAAAAGTAACCAAAATTCGGGGTCGGCTCAAGGCCCAAGCCACTAAGACAATGACCTTAGGCCCCAAACCAGCGAGGCTCGTTTTTTTTAGAAAAATTTTCAGAAACCATTATGTTTTACTAATTATTAGCTTGCTATACCTATTATTTACTAAATTACTTTTTATAGCTATATTTTAATTTGTTATAGAGTGTATTCGATATGTTTAAGATAATGTATTCATGAATACAATAGTAAAAGTCGACGGAAAAAAGGAAATTACAGCTAACGTATAGATTGTATTCATATGTATTCGCGAGCTGTATTCGTGAATACAGTAATGGAATTTGCGGAAAAAAAAGGTCTTCGGCTACTTAAAAACGGTAAGTGAATTAATTAACACGATAGACTCCTAATATAACTCAAACCGAAAAATACCCCAAAAATATAGCAATCTTCGGAGATTCAATCAATCCTTTCTTTTTTTAGTGGTATCTTTACTAAAATATTTTTTAGTGGTATCCTTACAAATAGATTTATATATTGAAATTATATAATTACATTGAATACACTTAAATACATAAAAAATACATTGAATACATGAAGTATAACATGTCATCTATAGTGCAAAAACATATGAATACGTACTGCAAATATATTTGAATACATATATACATCTGAATACATAAACTATATTAATTAAAAAAAAAAATTATGAATACATTCTACATATACATTGAATACATACTGTTGAATATATACTGCTAGACAAAACAATGAAACAAAATGAAGCTTTGAAATTATATAATTACATTGAATATAGTTAAATACAATGAATATATTGAAAAAATAGAAAAAACTAAAGACAACGAATACAACGAAATACATGGAATACAGCGAGATACATTGAAACACAATGGGGAAAAAAAAAGATAACAGACTCTTCAAGTTCCTCGGCCCCAAACTCCGTCCCCAATCCACCGCTATCCAAGGCGCCGCCATGTGGGGCGTCGCCGCCGGTACCGGCGCCCTCTGAGGCGTCCAGGTAGTGAATATTTCATTTCTGCTTTGAAAATTTTGAGATGTGCACTTGTATTTCTCCAAATTTTTGTTTCTCCTTTATCTTTTTATTTCCATATCTTTGTTTCTACTTACCATAACTCTTTGGAGCAAAAAAAGTTGAAAATTGAGAGAGACAATGGAGATGAATCAGTGGAGAATCGTTGATAGAGAGAATGAGGAAGAGAATGGCGCTGTGATGGAGAGAGAAGTTTACTTCCTATACGGTAATTTTGTGAGAGAGAAAAATAATACACAACGTATTTAATGGCTTAAATGTGAAAATGGTCATAAATAGATATTTTGCTATAAAAATTAAAAGGTAGCTATAGGAGATAATTTTTTAAAAGGGTATTTACTTATAATAAATAAGGTATCTACCTTTGCTATAGGTTGGTGAATTTTATAACTATTTTTTTAAAAAAAAAGTAATGAATATTTTAGAATAAAAAATATAAGACCTTTATGTAAAAAAATGATTAAATAGATATCATTTAGTAATTTATATTTTGTTACTTTTTCTTTTTCTCCGGTCTCATATTAAAATTTATACTTTATACATTCTTTTTTTTTCATATTAAATTGTCTATTCTCAAAAATAACACAAAGAACATTAAATAGATTAAATTGCACATGCTTTTTCACTATTTCTTCAAGTTTTTAAGCATTAGAGCAATAAAAAGTTTATTTTAATATCAAGTAATTCAGTTTGGAGAATCATGCGTTATTGTTTTCATTGTCTATTATCTTTCTCTTTTAATTCGACACTTGTTGATTTTAGCTAATATAAGTATTATTTTTATATTATATATTACTTAGAATTTTAATTTATCAACTAGAAAATATCTATGAGATTACTTAATCGCACAATTAAAAAAGGAAAGAGGGTTTAATACAACCTCAACGTGGAGTTGTTACAAAAATAGATTAAATAGGTTGACAGTGTTGTCAATTTGATAAAGAATTATTAGAAGAAGTTAATTACAAAAAAATATTAATCATTGAGCTGGGAGAATAGACTTTACATAAGAACATATATGATTCTTAAATATAATAAAAGATTTAAGGCCTCTAAATAATGTTTGGCTTTAGGCCACCCCTGCCAAAATCTATGGCCATTCAAGATGATATCTCGAGCAGTTACATATCCAGTACCCTTGACACAAATAGACGCGTCAGAAGTACCATATAGATTACTTCTTAATACAAGTTCTTTCAAATTCATTAAAATTTCATGACCGATCGTTGAATGCTCGTTATGGTAGAATATTCACGTGGGACTTTCTAAGATTTTACACATATGATAGATGTTCCGTCTATTTCTTCAAGTAAAGCTCTTCGCATCGCAATGCCTATTGTGTCGGCTTCGCCTTTCATAAGTGGAGACAGAATAAAACGTACATAATAAAGGCGTTGATGCAAATAATTTGTTCTACGTCTCCGAATTATATATCCCTGTTTAATTATTGTCATTGAGTAGATGAAACTTTAACGAATAACTAATCGATTGCCTTTCTTTCAGTTATTCTTTTCCCCTTTTCTAGTCTATTAATAACAAAACGGATTTTTCAATGTATAAAATAAAAGTTTCAATGACTTTGGCTACTCTAACCATCTCGACCACAATTTTTTTCTTAAGGCGCGTATAACCTTTAAAAGAAGAAAAAACTAGGCCCAGTTATTTTATCTCCAAATACTTAAATTAATTTTACTTACGGGAAAAAACCAAATGAACTAAGTATATGAAATATTATTTCAATATATTTCAAATACTGTACATGTCACAAATTATTTAAAATTAGTTTAAAATAAATGATATATTTTTTTAAAAATAACTTAAGCTTAAATTTCTCATACTTAATGAGATGATTTATATTCACAAAAGTACTATAATATATTTTTTATCACAAATCTAAAAAGTCATCTATGTGCATTTGTAAAGGATATTAGTTATATTTGCAAACAATGAACCTTTTTTCCCCTCAAAATAATGAACTTCACATATTAAAATTTCAAGTAAAACATGTTGTTCCAAAAAAATTTTGACAAATAAATGTTTGTTTATAAATTTTATCCATATTTTGGCAAAATCCTGAAACCAACTCAAGAGAGCTGGTTTTGGCCCAAAATATTACTATTACATCTTTTTAAAATTGGCCCAACTTTTGTATTTTATAAAAGAGCCCACCATTTATTATTTTGTAACAATGTTGCTTCATCTTCTTGATCATCTAATAGTGTATTATGTAGTTCATTATAAAAATGATAATTTTGTCCCAAATTTATTTATGTTCAGGACTATGGTTTGTGATAATGATAATGAATGTTATTAATGAAGGTATTGTTGGGTGTTTGTGATAGGTTTTAGAACTCGGGGGTATAAGTCACGTTTCATGTTTTTTTTTAAAGTGAGATATGTTTTGAAAATTGATGTCCAAACCACATTTTTATCTCGAACCAAACTTCACCTAAAACAGACTTTTTAAAATAAATTTAGGAATCTATGACCAAACGCTAGCTAATTTTCAGTGAAGTACCAATTTTTACTCACAATTGTTCAGTTTTTGTAATTATATTTTTTACAAGTAAAATTAATGTGATAAAACATAGTTAAACTTTCACAAACCTTTTTAATTTTAACTACAACTTAAAAATATTATTTCCAACTTCAATTCAAATAATTGCTCTATTTCATTTCCTTTCCCTATTTTCCAAACAGCATATTTGGGTTTTAGCCAAGGATTTAAGGAAAGAGACCTGAATTTCTATCTGCAAAATACCCACTTGATTTGAAATGGCAGCTTCGGCTCCTCTTTCTCACACATTCTACACACTTCGCTTCCCTTCTTCTTCTTCTTCTTCTTCTTCTTCTTCTTTCTCTTCTACGGTTTCTAAACCCCCAAGAACCTTAATTCAGCCTTTTGCTCAATGTTTTCAATGCACTCATCACCATTTTCCCCTCAACAAGCATTCTGAAAGCACTAAATTTGCTCTCTCTAAATGGGACTCAGTAATTATTAACCGCAGCAGACGTTCCTTGTTCAAAACCGCTCTCTCGTTCCAAGACTCTGCTCCTCAGGTACTGTCTTCCTCTCTATTTTTATGAGTAGTTATCTTTGCTTTTGTTGTTTAATTGGGTTGCTATAGAAAATTTATTTCATCTTTTATTGAGTGCTTGTAGTCTTAATTGAGAATCAATTTGTCAAGTATAGGAAATTAGCAACTTTTTCTCACCTCCCTTTTGTGCATAGTTGCATTGGCTGGGAAGCTTTTTGTTGAATAAATACATACTTACTGTTATCCCTTAGATGCTTTTGATAACAGGATTAAGTTATCTTCCTTCTTTTATTTTTGGATTAGTCCTAGAGCAAAGTTATGTGTCTTCAGTAGTAAGCACAAGTGGCAATTGATGACTTGACCTAGTCTTCGATTCCAATTTATTTCAAGTGTTGGTTTCTGTTGATTTAAATGTTGGTTGGTGTTTTCCTTCCAGTGTATGCTAGACGGTGCTGATTTCCTTAACTATGGGGTGCAAATAATGTAAATATTCCTATCACATGACCTAAAAGTTGTGCCTAATTGTGTTATGGTGGTTGCTTTGTGAGATAAATACTGATGACAATTTGCAGTTATATAGAGGGTGAGGGTTTCAGTTGACGGCATTACTGAGTGAACTACATCTGTAATGATTGATTATTGATATATATTGGTTCTTTTTTAATGCTTTCCTTGAGCTGAGGGTATACCGGAAATAACCTCTCTACCTTCACAAGGTAAGGGTAAGGTTTGCGTACATACTACCCTCCCCAGACCCCACTTGTGAGAATACATTGGGTATGTTGTTGTTGTTGCTGTTGGCCTGGTTATTGAGTAGGGGATGAATATTGTAGGAGGACTAATGCTACTTTGACAGAAAAGTGGTACGCAAGTAGCTCCTTTGTAGTCGTTCACTTCATGAGCAGGGTTTTACTTGTCTCCCATGAACAACTAGCTGACCCTCAGATTTGTTGCTTGTGGATTTAACTGTGTTATTGGTGGATAACTGTGGGTTATAGTTTAATTCCTTTCATTTTTCATATGTTCATACTTCATATAACCAATGACATACAGAGGAGCACTTCCTGTCACTTTTGAAGTGTTTGTATAAAAGAATATTTGAAAAAACTTCGACTCTGACATAAGTTATCTTGTAAGTATGACATATATCTCTCACTTTCATAAAGAGTTTTAAATTGGTTACCTAGATATCTTTTTGAAGAGCTGCATTCATTACAGCTATATTCATGTTTGTTGATTATGTTCTTTTATATGGTTGATATCCGCTTGGTTACCTAATCTAACTCAACAATTCTAATATTCCTTCATCAAAGTATTTCTCTTTTCAGAATATTACTGTTGTGAAACTGATGATGACACAAAATAATTTTGTTGTAGACGAGTGATGACGAGGATAGCCTCAGTGAATTGGAAGTGTCAAAAGATGAAGTAGATGAGAAATATTCATTTAGATTGAAGTCCCTCATGCAAGTTTACAAGGAGGCCATCCTAGTAGGAGATGTAAAGGCTATATATGAAATTGAGGCAGCCATATCCTCGGTGGAAAAGGAGAGAGATGACTTGGCCCAAAAAGTTTCAGCTCTATCAGCAGAGATCAATTCTGGGAAGGAAAAATATATCCGCTTGCAAGCAGATTTTGATAATTTTAGGAAAAGATCTGAGAAAGAGAGACTAACAATCGGGACAAATGCTCAAGGGGAAATAATTGAGAGCCTCTTGCCCATGGTTGATAACTTTGAGAGAGCTAAGCGACAGATCAAACTAGAAACTGAGATGGAAAAGAAAATTGATGCAAGTTACCAGGGAATATACAAACAATTCGTGGAGATAATGAAGAGCTTGCGTGTTGCTGTTGTTCCAACTGTTGGCAAACCATTTGATCCTGCGGTAAGAAATTACTGACTCTCTGTTATCCCTTCTCTCCCTCTCCATGAAGTCATTATTTCTTCCCTTTTATGCGGGAGCACCCAGTCTCTTTACTTCTGCTAACATTACATTCTAGGGAGGCATAGGCATACCAGCAAATATATGGCTGTGGATCCATGTTGTACTCTAGTATGACATGCCCATCACCACATGTCAAATACACTGTCTCAGTTTCTTTAAATGTCCTAAATTTGGAAACCTATGTCAACTCATCTGGGCAAAATGTGTCACCATACTGACACCTATGAGTCATTACTACCTATATTTCTTCTTTCCTCCGAGATTCAATTGTTCAAAACTCAGTCTTGCTAGATCAGAACTATGAAAGAATCTTTTAAAGCATTGAATTAATAAATATTAATTGGAAAATGGATGTATAATTTATGGCTGCCCTTACATCCTTGAAATTAAAATCCATAGGTCGTTATAGTGGCACTCTTTCTATATCTTATTCCGTTCCGACCTAATCAACAAACTAAGTTCCAATTCAAAAGGCAACATTAAGATTTCTCTACCAATTTAAAATGTTAGTACATGTTTTACATTTGCTTAAGAAACTTGAACTATTTTAGATACTTTTTCTAATTATTTATTGTGAAACATGGTTAGTGAGGATTCATGTAGCGGACCATAACTTGTCTAGATTTAGGGGTAGTAGTAGCTGTTCTAATTTTTATTGAGACGCTGAATGAATTGAATCATAGTTTATGAAGATTGCCATGTTGCATGTACACCTCCAGATGCACCAATCCTTACGTAGACCTCCAGATGTACTAGGCCATAGGTGTGACAATATGATGATTAAAGATCCCAAAGAGTACATGGTAAAATCATATTATGAAGTTGTGTTAAGGTTTTTTAACTAAAAATCAAAACACTACAGAAACAAAGAATCCATATAAGTGGTACCAACTAATTTCATTCTCAAAAAAAAGTGGTACCAACTAATTGGGACTAAACTCGTTAACCGTGTAAGATGAAGGTGAGATTTACCCCTAATATGCTTTAAAAAGCAAATGATTTAGTATTGGAATGAAATGTGCATGTTTAGAGTAATGGATGTAGAATATTTATATAGGCTACCTCACTAATTTGGGATTGAAATGTACTTGATTGATATAGTTTTAAAGCTATAACTTATGAATTTAATAGAGTATCCTTTCACCTAATGGTGTGGCCTAGGGGTCAATGAAGTAGGTGCAAACCTTGGTAGCTAGGGTTCAAATCCCAACAGAGACAAAAATCACTTGGTGGTTTACCCATATGCCTAAGCCGTAATGAGCAAAGTTACGTGGTACTTATACTGGTGGGAGGTAACATGTATGCTGTGAAATTCGAGGTGCGCAAGCTGTCCAGTCACCACGGTATCAAGAAAAAAGGAAGGAATTATCCTATATATGTTTTCTATGAAGGTTCTAAATTTATTTTGAGATGTTGATTATACACACACACACAAATACACAATGCGTGTGTGCACACAGATGTCTGTATGCATGTCCTTACATGTTCATATGTATATGCATATAAACTAAATTCATATATTCGTGTTGTGTGCTACCATTTTCTGAAGCATTCGTACATTCATGGGTTTGTCCATATCCATGTTACTTGGGTTGAATTCCCCATCTTTGAATTGCTGAATAGGGTCTTAGTCACTGCATTCAAATTTTGTCTCATGATCACTGACAAAAGTACATTATACTTAATGCGGGAAATTCTTTTTGCTTGATGAGAAATTGAAGAATACTGTTATACACAAAAGGTTTCGTTAGGTGAAACTTATCAGAATGTTGTCCTTATAAATAAAATTATCTGAAAGTTGGCTATTTTACTTCTTTCCATATTACGTAGAAAAATGCTAACTTGGCACATTTGAATAACCCCCAAATAGATTGCTTGTTTTGAATGTTAAAGGATTATGACATATTTGGTAAAGTTTGTATGAGGATTGCTGATATTTGTTACCATTAGAGTAGTGACATTTTAAAGATGTACCTTTTGAGTGCTTCTGACCTTCAAAAAGGAAATAAGATGGATTATATTCAAAGTAAATATTGCTGTCAAATTTAGAACTTTTAACAGAAAGAATCTTTCGTTGCGTTGGAAATCAAAATGAAGATACGAAGTTCAAAGTATTGAGAAATATTTTTAAGTTATAAAATAGTGTTCTTTTTTCTCCTTGTACAAACTACAAGCTTTACACGTCTAGCATAGCATATGTATTCAAATCTCAAGTGCACAGGGATTATGACAGGAGCTTAAAAATTATTGTACTTAAAATGATAAGGTCAAAAATAGAGATAACTAACTTTTTATTGAACGTGACTTTTGTCAAGTATGAAAGTTTGTACCTGTTACCTTTATAGTGGAAAATGAAAGAAAAGAGGTTGGTTGAAGAAGAAAGGAGAAAGTTTTATTAGTATAAGCTTTTTTTTTTTCAATTTAAAAAAACAAAACTCTATGACTTTTCAAAGAATACTGTGAGTGTTAACGGCAGTTTGGATCTTAACCAAGAAACTTCTCAATAGCATTTAACAAACTATTAGTTTATGCTTTGTGAAGTAACTAGAGCTAGTCCTATTTAATGACAACAGCAAAATTTGCTCGTTAAGCTTCTTTATATTATGTTTCAACTGCTGGTCAAATCAAAAGACAACTTGTTCAGTAATGTTTGTTACTAAAGTATTTAACTATCTTTCTTTTAGAAGCATTGAAGAGAGAAACGAGCAATTGTGGTTTACCATTCTTTGATATCTACAATTTCCTTCTTGCTTTTCGTCTTGATATTCTTTAGTATTTGCTAAGTTAAGCCTCTTCAAAGTCGAACATGTCTAAGGCTTTTTCTTTTCATCAAAATGGACTTAAACTAGGAAAACAAAATTAAAAAAGAAAGAGATGGGAAAATACTAGTGATTGATTTTGCTTTAAATTTTGAGTTAAGAACCAATCCTTAGACTCAAGAAGGATCTGACATTATTCAGATTCTTGCTTTAACTGCAATCAGTTTTCTCCTTCTCGTATTATTTTTTCTTTTCTTTAATATTTGTAAAGGGAAACCTTTCCTTCTGATTACAGATATGAGTAAGACGAAGCAGTACTTTATATTCAGCTAGAGAAGATCTAAATCTAATATGTTTCTGTTAGTTGCTAAACATGTCTGACTTTTCCTGCGATATTTGATGACGAGCTAATTAAACATGGCTTGATGATGATACCGAAAGCAATGTATACATACTATGTGTTCAACTGCGGATTTGGCTGCAAAGTTTTCTGTCTTCTCTTCTGAGAATAACCTTGACTTTGACATCTACCTCATGCAATGCCTCCTCTCCCTTATACTCCATTTCTTTTAGCACATTCATTGACTTGACATTGTTTATTTAGTTTTATCTTGTTTTCGGGCGGGCTTCTTTTTTTTTTTTTTTAGGGGGGGGGGGGGGGGGGTTTGCTTGCTGTTATATACATGCAGTCTTACATGTCTTGGTTATTTCTAATCTTTGGGGTATGGTTTCTTTTCTTGATACAGCTACATGAGGCTGTTGCTCGTGAGGAATCTCAAGAGTTTACTGATGGAATAATAATAGAAGAATTCCGCCGTGGGTTTTTACTTGGAGACCGCCTGCTAAGGCCTGCAATGGTTAAGGTTTCAGCAGGACCGGGCAAAAGGATACCCTCTTCATTCGCACAGAAATCCGCAGCAGCAACTGCCGGAGTTGATGATAACTAACTTTCAATTTCACAGGGATGCATTGAATTCTTTTAAAGAGCGAAGACCGCCTCCATTCATATAAGCTTGAATCCTCTTCAGTCTAGGCAATCCTCTGTGTTAGTATATGATCATTTAAGCCTAATTCTTTTTCTTTTTTGTTTCTATCACACAATTGAGAAAGAGGGGAACACTTCCTTTGAATCTTAAGAAATTCAATCCGGTTGTTGACAGAAAATGTGCTTGTTTGCTGTTGGTCAAAAGGCTTGTGAACTCTCTTATGCATTAATATGAAAAAACCATTTGGCTAAGCGAATCATGTTTGAAGATATTTCTGTATAGGCATAAAGATTAAAGAGCTTGTAGTCTTAGAGAAGTCGTAGTTAGGCATAATCGATAATTCATATTTGGACATGTGGCTGAATAGATTGGAATAGATATAGAGAATACATATAGTGGACTTTAACTAGTTTGGATTGAGAAGTAATTGATAATATATACATACATACATGCATATATACATACTCCTCTCACCAATTTAGAGCTCCCCTGTCACCACATGCTGGTAGAAGTGTGAGATACGTCATTGAGTTTGGATGAGGGCCTCTTTTGGCTGCCCATTTTTAATGAAGCCATCTATCAAAGAATTCCATGTAACTGTGTTTCTATCCTCCATATTATCATGGCATTTTGCATACATATCAATTAAAGCACTAGATATAAAGATATTGGCCTCAAAACAAAACCATGGATTTCTTTTCCTTGCGTCAGTAAGGTAAGATCAGCACCAGCTGCCAGAACTCCAGTTAATGTTAACAGGATTTGGCTTTACTGAAGGAACTGGCACTTTCTCAGCTATATATTTGCTGGAAGATGATTGAATGATTTAGAGTATTTTTAAAGCTTCAAATCGGGCTTCACCTTATTATCCGTCATCCAGTGAAAAACACGTTCTGCTTCCTCCACGAGCCCTGCATTCATATAAGCAGATAATAAAGCAGTCCAAGAAACCACATCTTTTTCTTCCATTGAGTTAAATAAACCCTCTGATGACTCCAATTCTCCACAATTTGCATACATATGAATAAGCGCATTACTGACAAAAACATTTTTAATTATACCCTTTCTATAATTATCTGTCATTAAGCCCTCGTCTATCATTAACTGCAAAATAAATAAAAGTCCATTCCACTGCTCAGACTTAGAGCAAGAACCTATTAAAGCAGTGTACAAAGGTAAACTTCTCTCAGGCATTCAAACAGTTTTCTTGCATCTTCCAACGACTCCCCGGTGCTTTTTAAGCATGGAACTACTTGATTAGAGCCACCATATTCAATAGCTGACAATGGATTTGCTTGCAGTTATACCTATGACACTCAATGGGTCTATTCAAGACTAAGTTGTCTACTGGCGCTTGGCATTTGAAATTTAAGGGGGAAATGGTGCCATGGGTAAGAGGGAGCAATAGGCTATATCCATGTATTGGTGGAAGAAAGGCACGCATGTGAACCAACAACGAGGTGACAAGTGACATTTATAATTGGGTCAATAAAGAAAGACGCAGATAAAATACCCACGGTATTTATCAGAGAAGGTACCGAATCTAACTGTTAGAAAAGAGAAAATAGGCACGAGATGTATGCAGACCATAAACGGGAAACATTCATGAATTAGTTGTAAATATGGAAGGGGAATCAACATTAGCTTTGATTACGTGCAATTCTTTATTATTACCATATCCGTTACAAGTAAATACGGTAACGGACAATCAAGGCAATTAATGCCATTAACGAGCCAGAATTAAGTAAGGAAACCATTAACGAGGACTCATACCTCATTTTGTACAATCATCTGAATATTTCTAAATATATGCAATCAGTCTTTTATTTTATTTGATTCAAGATTCCAATCCGCAATTCTGGGGGATATTAGCAATCAACAATAAGTTTTCTTTCCTTTTCCTATTATTTCAATTGTTTACTTTATTTCTATATTACTAAGAAAATGAAGTAATTTTGGTTATCAGTGACCCAATTTTCCTTAATATTAGCTTTGACCATAAAAACTATTTTTGAGTTAAACAAATTGGTTCTGTTACCAGAAATTTGATAATCTGTTCACTTTTCAAATTTGATATTTTAGCAACAAAACATGTCTAGTGCTACTGAAATTGATCAGGTGAATCAACAATGTGGATCTCTACCACACCACGCGCCCACAACTACTCCATAACATTCACGAGAAAGTTCACCTGAAAGGTCAGCTACTCGCACTGATGGGCAACATGTAGGTAAACAAGCTAACGAGCAAGATACTTTGAAGCAGTTGATTACACAACACGTGAATGGAGCACTACGGGCTTTTGCGAGTGGGTTGCACAACATTGTGCAAACTCCTCTACCGGCGAATACCACCTTGGAAAATCCGCGTTCAAGGCCTGACAAATCTGGAAGTGGAGAAATGCCAAACGAATCCAGAGATGGAGGATTGGGTACACCAAATAATTCTGATTTACAAAGTTTAGTACTAACTTTGCAGAAATAGCTCAAGGAGCAAAACTGGCGTATAGAACAAATACCTGGCGTGCCTCCAATAATCAAGGGAGTGGATATTGACAAATATTCGCAACAGCCCTAGAAGCCAAGTGCAACACCTTTACCAATTCCAAAAAAGTTTAAAATGCTTGATATCCCTAAATATGATAGGACATCCGACCCACGAGATCACGTTACTGCATTCACCACAGGGTTCAAAGGCAATGATTTAATCAAGCAGGAAATTGAATCAGTCTTGGTCAAAAAGTTTGGCGAAACTCTCACGAAACGGGCGTTAACATGGTACTCACTCTTACCTGAAAACTCTATTGACTCTTTTGCTGAGCTTGCAGATTCATTTATAAAGACACATTCGAGGGCCCAAAAAGTAGAAAAAAGGGATGGAAGATATCTTTAAAGTTAAACAGGAAAGGACAGAGTTGCTAAGGGAATTCGTAAATAGATTCCAACGTAAGAGGATGATGCTACCATGGGTACCTGATAACTGGGCGGCTATGGCGTTTGCGAGTAATTTGAACAAGAAAAGTTCAGAAGCCACGAGGAGGTTGAAAGAGAGTTTGCGGGAGTTTCCTGCAACTACTTGGAACGATGTATACAATCGATACAGCACGAAGCTGCGAATAGAAGAAGACACGGTTACTCAACCAAGGGTAGAAGAAAGGTCAGGATCTAGACGTTCAGAAATGGAAAAAATGTATGGGAAGAATAGGTACGAGCCCTACATGGGACCTGCGGGACGAGATTCCTGATCTAAATAAGAAAATGCACGGTTTGATTCAAGATCAAGACAAAAGGAGACGAGTTCCTATTCTCGATTCAAAAGGGAACGAGACATAAGAGGCGATGATTCAAGCTCTCATATAAAAATATGATATTACAGCTCCAATGTTAGTACATCCGAATTGGTGGCTGTTCTGGGAGGAATGGGCGATAAGGTATGATGGACAAAATAAATGAGGTCAGATCCTATCAAAAGGAATCAGGAATTTTGGTGCGAGTTTCACAACGATCACGATCATAGAATGAAAGATTGCAGGCTCTTACAGGGAGAAGTTGAAAATCTACTGAAGCAAGGCTATCTCACCGATCTGTTTAGTGAGAAAGGAAAATAATCGTACGTGAAAAACATGCAAGAACCACCAAAGCCCTCGTCTCCAAAAAGAACAGTAAACGTCATAACCGAGGGAGAAGAAGTTAATGGGGTAACGTACACGACTGCGAAAAAGACATCAAAGGTTATCCTTACTTACAGGAAACGAGTTCGGCAAGTTTCGGAAGGAGACAATTAGTGTTCAATGATGAAGACATGGACGCCTTGATAATTCCTCACAATGAAGCGCTGGTAATATCTTTACTTGTACATGATACTAATGTTAAACGAGCTTTGATTGACCCATGTTGCTCAGTAAATATCATTCTACTAAGAGTGGTAAATGAGATGCAAGCAAATGATCAAATTATACCAAAAGCACGGTCATTATCTAGGTTCGATAATTCAAGTGTTGTTCCGAAAGGAGAAGTCGTAGTATCTACATTTGCATATGGTGTCATAAAAGACACTAAGTTTCAGGTAATAGGTGCGGACATGGCTTATAATATAATCTTGGGAGGCCATGGATTCATGATATGGATGTGGTCCCGTTAACGTTGCATCAAGTCATCAAGTTCCTGTCACAGTGGGCAATCCGACTAATCTAGGGAGATCAACAAGCATCGTGAAATATCAATTCAGCGGTGATCGCAAATACAAAATCCAGCAACGGAAGTGTGAAATAGCAATTAAAGAACTCAGTTGAGGATAATTTGACACACACCTCAATTGAAAGTCCGAGAGTTCAAGTTGATACAGATTCAAGACCCGATATGATTCAAGAATCAAAAGAAAACGAGAATATCAAAACAACCAAGGAGGAGCTCGTAGCTGTTATATTATTTGTCCTTGGAGCAAACTTGAGCCCGAAAATGAATGGTAAGTTAATTGAATTTTTACGTGCTAATGCAGAATGCTTTGTTTGGTCTCATTCAGACATGACAGCTATACCACCGGAGGTAATGACTCAAAAACTGAATGAGGACCCATTGCATCCACCTGTCAAACAGAAGAAAAAGAAGCAAGGAGAATTTAAAAATCAATAATCCAGGATGAGGTATAAAAACTTTTTGAAAATTGGTTCAATACGAGAGGTAAAGTACCCTGATTGGTTAGCTAATACTGTCGTGGTTCCAAAGAAAAATGGAAAGTGGAGAGTTTTTGTAGATTATAATGATTTAAATAAATCTTGCCCTAAAGATTCATTTCCTTTACCGCATATAGACCAGTTAATGGATTCCACCGTAGGTCATGAATTTTTTAAGTTTTTTAGATGTTTATTCTGGTTATAATCAGATAAAGATGGATCCTCTAGATGAGGAAAAAAAACCTCGTTTATTACATATAGGGGGACTTGTTGCTACAAAGTCATGCCATTTGGTTTGAAAAACGCTGGAGCAACGTAACAGAGATTAGTGACCAAAATATTTCAAGAACACTTAGGAAAACCATGGAAGTCTACATAGACGATATGTTGGTCAAGTTAACAAAGGCTGGGGATCATTTCCAGCACTTGACTGAAACCTTCAAAATTCTCCGCAGCAATAACATGAAGTTAAACCCGGAAAAAATCGCCTTTGGCATTGATTCAGGTAAATTCTTGGGTTTTCTTATTTCTAATAGGGGTATTGAAGTAAATCCCGCGCAGATCAAAGCAATTGAGAAAATACC